GTATTCAGTGCTATCCATCCCCATTGTGTCCGGGGTGCCATAGTGGTTTTGAAATACATAATGATTTTTTGTAACCACTTGGTTAAGGCCTGTTTATCTTCATTCCATTTTGGGGGTTTCATGCCCTGACTGTTCATCTTAGGCATGTTCATGCTCACCTGAGCTTTCCTTCCGGGTTCGTAATAAACTGGCGCATATGGAATCTCCTGCGCCGCTGCCAAATAGGCTTGACCGGTATAACCCGGCCCTTGGGGATTGTACCCCTCCGGAGGCGGTGGACGCCCCATTTCCGCCCGATGTGGCTCAACGGCCTGATCAACCTCCAGCCCAAACAGAAATTCCTCATGTGGAGGTTCCTGGGTCTGGAAATGACCGGGCGGGTACTCGTACACCCTCTCGTAACCTCCCGATCCGGATGGATGGGATGATCCACTGTAAGCGGGTGTTGAGTATTCCTCTTGTCTTGGGGCGATCTCCGCCTGCGGTACCCTTCCGGGTTAGTATGCCCTCCCGGGCTGTGCCGCCATCCCTGGCTGATAATACCGAACTGGCGGATATACAGCTGACTCCGGCGCAAATGGAGACATCTCCTGCAGCCTTTGAATCTTTTGCTGCGTCGTTTGCACAGGAGGCTGTGATGTCCGCTGTCCAGCCTGCCCCGTTGTATAAGGCCGCACCGGCTGTCTTGGCGCCATTTCTGGCTGAGCCACTGGACGAGCCGGTGTGGAGGGACCTGCCTGCATCGATGGTCCCGGGGGCATTTGCACTGGTCCCTCTTCAGGGACTTTTCGGCCAGTTCTCTGGATGGCCTGCAATTCCATTGCTGCTTCCTGACCCTCTGGCACATAAATCCCCAGTGCCGTCTGCTGCGCATCAAAGAGGCCACGCAGCTTCCCGGGTATACGTTGGAGGGCGTCCCTTGGGACTTGGGCCCTGTACGGGGCATGGCCTCCACGGGGATGATAATACCCCTTAAAGTATACCCCTCCATGAGGGTCATGAAAGGCACCCAGCGTATTCCCAAAGCCCCTCGTGTCCTGTATGACAGGGACACGCATCACTGGGGTGGGCTTTGCAGCCTCGTGCGGCATCTTGGCACGTCCACTTTGATCAGCCGCCATTTGCTGGGCGCGGCGTTCCTGGTATCCAGGCCCCGGTTTCGCCGGTTTGTAGGCAATTTCCTGCCGTCCATGAGAAATTTGCTTTGCTTCTTGCAGCTCCAGATATGCTGCATAGTCTTCACCCCCCATCAAGGAACGAAGCTGTGCAGCTTTCTCTGCATCCGCCTTTGCTTTCTGCAAAGCAGCTTCCTGCCTCTGCAGGATCTCATATGTCTCCCGTCTTTCCCGGGGAATTGGACTGGCAGGTTCACCTGCTGAACCGAGATACACAATCTCATCGTTACCAGCAGAATCACCAATTTCTGCACGGTTACGTGTCTGTGTATTCTTCACAACAGGTCGCAGCAAAGACAGTTCAACAGGATGTTTACCTGAAACTGGCCTTTGCGGGCCTTTGGATTCCTCCTTTGCCTTTCTAGGCTGTATTCTCGCCTCTGCAGGCGGGTCTTTGGCCTTATCAGGCTGTTCTTTCGCCTTTGCTTCTCCAAGCGGGATCTCCCTCTCCGGCATCCCTTGCACCTTAGGACCGCTGGTTTCCACAACCGATGGCGATGCCGGCTCCGGTTGGAGAGGGACAAAGCGGGCAGGGTGGTTTACACCACTGTCACTGCCGCTACTGTCCTGCTGGTCTGCCCAGCGGGTGGAGGTCCCCTCCTTGGCAATACGGACAAAGGCCTTAGCCTGCTCGGCCGGATCCAGCTCATCGACCTTGGGCTGTACCTCCAGGCGCTGCGCCTTTTGGCTGCCTCCTGCGGAGAAAAACCGCTTGATCTCAGCCTTGCGCTGGCGTTTGTGAGCTCGTTTACGCTCATACTTTTCAGGATTCAATTGACGATCCCGCTCACGTCGCAGCGCTTTCAATTCTCTCCGCTGTTTGGCCTTTCTGGCCTTTTGCTCGTCTAATTTCTTTGCCCGAGCAAAGCGATCTCGGTTACGAATCCGTCGTCTCTCCTTCTCCATCCTATGCACTTGTGCACGGGTTGACATATCACCCGGCAAAGGAGAAGCACATGATGAGAACGACAATTCCGAGATCTCCTCCCACCGCTCGTGGGGATCATTAGGGTCTGGTCTCTCCGGACTCCCCTCGCTCAAGTCCCATGGTTCCGGGATATGCCTGAGCGCAAAGGCCATCTTTTCTGGCCAATTTGGGTCCTCTTTGGCAATTTGATCTGCCATTCGAGGACCATACCACCTTTGTATTCTAACCAGTCTGGCGGTGGTTAACCTTTCTCCAAACTGGTCGGCGGCCATCCGCCATCCCTCGTCAAGCTCATCGACGAGATCGCTGTGGAACTTTGTCCACATTGCACGGCACGGTGGTTGCCGGCTATATGGATCTCGAGTGTCTGGAACGAGCTCCAGTACCCTTGAGCTTTCACCCGGCCCCCATTCTGGTAGCGCAGGCCTCCGAGGGCTCCAGTTATGGCCTCCCGGCCTTGGCGGACTTTTTCCGCAAACAGCTTGAGCGCTTTCTGTGAGCGACTCATCTCCCGTCCCGTCCGCTCCACTAGGTGTTCTCACATACACCTGGGATTTGAGCCGTAGCTCCGGGATCTTGACCTTCCGGCCTTGCATTCTCTCAGCTCGCCCTAAGGCTTTGGCCTCCCGGCCTTGATATGGAGATTTCTCACTTTCCATCGGCCGCTCACCTGGCGATGGACTCTTCCGCTTGGAGCGCTGCTTGCCAGCAACCTTCCAGTCTTCCTCTGGGATGGTTGGCATGGGCAGCTCCGATGGACTGGGGGCCCTCACAGCTGGCACCACCTGTTGGGCGCTTCTCTCTTCTGCCTCCTGGGCCCGCTGTTTTTGCTTCAGGAGGCGGTCACTCAACGCCTTGACTTGGTCTTCGGCGGAGGTTTTGGCTTCTTGGGCCTCGCGGCTCTGCTGCTTCGCCTTCTTCATGGCCAGCTCTTTTTCTAGAGCTTCTTTCTTGGCCTTGTTGACGGCGATCTCCAGCGAGGCGATCCTCTCGGCGGTCTCTTCATCCCGCTTCGCTCTCGCCTTCTCGGCCGCGGTATCCGCCATCTTCTGCAGGAGCTCTTTGATACCAGGGATCTTCAGCAACGTCGCCGCCGCCTCAACGTCCTGGTCTTGCTCCTGCGTCTTCTCCGCCGCCGGCGGGGTATCCACTTCTTCCATCGGCTCGTCTTCTGCTGCGGGTGCCGATGTGGCTGTGGAGGGTCCAGCCATGTCCTCCCGGACTGTTACACCTCCTGGCCCATCCCGGGCTTGTTCAGTTCCTTGCCCATCCCGGGCTGTATCGATCGCCTGCCCATCCCGGGCTTGTTCTTCCCCCTGCCCATCCCGGGCTTGTTCCTCCGATTCCTCGGCCTCCATGGAGGAGGCCGGGGAAGGGCTTCGGCGTCTTGTACTCTCGCGCGCTCCCAGGTGGAAGCGTGGCCGCCACCCTCAGGCGGCTCCGAAACCAATTGTTACGAATAGGATGTGGGTGTGGGGTTCCTGCCCTCTTTGAGCAGCGGACCCGCCTCGCCGGGCACCTAGGTCCTTACAGGGCACCTAGGCGGGACCACCCCTCCTACTCCCGTATCCTAATATGGATAAAGGTTACAGTGGGTGAGGAATAGTACGTGCCTTGGGCAGGGCGTCCCCCACACCAAGGGCCATTAGTAGGACGTCTCCCACATCAGGCTGGTGCGCGTAACACAAAGAAGCCCTGAACTGGCCAGCGGGGGGTTCGCAGGGCAGTGGCCATCGGCTGGCCGAGTCTCCATGGAGCCCACAAGTTTTTGGGAGCATTTCGAGGGCACAGGCGCAGTGTGGCTTGCAAAGCGATCGGCGACCGAATCTGTGCTTGCATCGAGCCCGTCGAACGCGCAAGGAGCGCGCCCTGGGGACGGCCCACAGGGTGGCTCCGGATGCGGCGCGAATGCTGCGGCGCATGTCGCCTCTCATGGGCACCCATTCCCACCATCGGCGGTGCCATTTCAGGCGACCACGGGTGATAGGAATGGGCGCCTGCGAGGCGCCATTCCTGCTGCGCCTCTTGCGCTTCGCGGGCGCCCATTCGCGTCGCCTGCGGAGGCCGTTCCAGGCCACTGCGGAGGGCGCGAATGGGCAGGCGAATGTGGGCGCGCCTGTCGCGCCTGTCGCGCCTATCGCGCCTATCGGCTGGCCGTTCGCGCCACCGACCGGGGCGATTCAAGGCAGCGCAGGCGGCGCGATTGTGCGCCCGCGAGGCGCTTATCTTGCGGCGCATCTCGCTCCTCGGGCTGGCGCACACCCGGGCCACTGGTGGGGCCCATCCTAGGGCACCGCGGGCGGTGCGAATGGGCGGCGCTGGGGCGCCGATCCGGGCGCTCCTCCAAGGCCTCGCGGATGGCCACTCGGGCAGGCCCTGTTGGTCGCCCACAACGCCAAAGGACCCTCAGTTTGCTAGGCCTCCGAGCGGGCTGCAGCCAAGGCGGTACCCCACCCGCAAAGGTCGCGCAGCGACAATGTTCGCACGGCAGAAATTTTCGCGGGGAAAAAAGTTCGCGGGAGAAAAATTTTCGCGCACCGACGAGTGCGCGAAAATATTTCTCCGCGATTTTTTTTTCCCGCGAAATACGCGAAATTTTTCTCCGCGAAAATTTTTCGGTATACAGTAGGCGGAAAACAACCCAACGTTTCTAACATTTTGGCATCTTTGCGCAGGCTGGGGCATCTGCCCGCAGGCATCTGCGCGCCCTGAAGTTCGCCTGGCCCTGCCCTGCGCCCGGATATGGAAGCGCAGACGGCCGATTCGCGGGCTCACGGGGGCCGTGCGCGCTGCCGCCCATGACACGCGCCGCCGACCATGCCACCGCTAGCCTCCTAGACGACGCCCGGCCGCCCGCCACACCCCGCGTCGGCACCCCCCCGCGGTGCCCGCTCGGCATGCACGCCTCCCACAAGGCTCTCCTGGTGTCCGCCCTGCTGAGGCGCGGGGCCCGCGGCTGCCCCGCCGATCACGCTGCCTTCCGATCGGACCCCGGCGTCGCATCCTGCGTTGACGACCCACTGTGGGTTCGCATGTGCGGGGCCGGCCACAATTCGGACACTGCACGGAGCCGATCAACGATCGGGGCGCCCACTTTTGGCGCAAGGCGCGGGGAGTGTAGAGCCAGGGGGACCGACCTGGCGACCTACTGCTCCGCGGAGGGCGGGAACGGCGCCTGGGGACTGGACGGGATGCGGTTCTCGGCCGGGGCTGGGCCCCCGCCCGTTGACGAGCTGTCGGTGACGAGTGCGCCCCCGCCGCCCGCTCTGTCCGAGTACCAGCCCGCCTGGACGGACCCCCGGTGGGCCAGCCCGCTGAGCGTCAAGCGCCGCATCTTCTGCAACCGCTCGCTGAACATGGACTCCGTCATCGCCGTGGGGTTCGACATGGACTATACCCTGGCACAATACCGGTCGGAGACCTTCGAGACGCTGGCGCACAGCCGCACGGTTGAGAAGCTCGTGGCCGCGTTCGGGTACCCACCCGAAATCCGGGAGTTCAAGTTCGACTGGCGGTACATGATGCGCGGACTGATCATAGACAAAAAGCGCGGGAACGTGGTGAAGGTGGACAGGCACAAGTACGTGAAGATTGCGTACCACGGCTTTCGGGCATTGAACCGCGAGGAGCGCGTGTCCGCGTACTCGAGGTCGGAGGTGCGGGAGTCGTTCGACGAGCCGGACTACGCGATGATCGACACGCTGTTCTCCCTAGCGGAGGCGCACCTGTTCATGAACCTGGTGGTGCTGAAGGACGCGCACTCGGAGGCCCTGCCCGGAAAGGATTACGCGCAGGTGCCGCCTTCCCTCCCCTGTGTGCCACTTTGCTGCGCTGGGGGATTTCTGAACCTTGTTGTGTGTAGCCATGTCAAGAGCTCATTCCACTCGAGAGATTTCTCTATGTTGATTGACAAAACACTCTTGTGCTTCTGCTCGGGCTGGGATGCCGAGCCCAACACCCATTTTCTTTTTGGTTGCAACCTCCGCGGCTATGCACTGGTCAGAAAACGCAGCAGATTCTTTTGAAGTGCTGCTGGCAAGGGGACGCCCATCTGTTGTGACGTCTTTCCCCCCTGCTGATAGTGCACTGTGATTTTTTGTCTGTGACGAATGACCGACTGTGCGCAGATCTACAGGGATGTGCGCCAGGCAGTGGACCTGTGTCACAGGGACGGCAGCCTGAAACGAGCCGTGGCAGCGGACCCAGCCAAGTACATCCACTCAGATGATTGCCTGGTGGATGTGCTGAACACGCTGAGGCTGAATGGCAAGAAAACCTTCCTGGCCACGAACTCGCTGTGGGACTACACCAATGTCGTCATGAATTTCCTGCTCAGCAACAGGAAGGGCAGCGAGAAGAATTTGGACTGGCTGCAGTACTTCGACGCTGTAATGACAGGCTGCGCCAAGCCAGCCTTCTTCAGTGCCAGCAAGCCACTCTTTGTGGTGGACCCGCACACAGGGATGCTGGGCAACACAGACAACGGAGCGCCTATCATACCGATTGGCGAGGACGACCTACCTAGCCTCAGAATGTCCTCCACCGCGCCCCACCTTGGAAACGATGGCCAGAAGGCCAAAACCTTCCAGGGTGGCACATATGTGGACCTGCACAAAATGCTGGGTGTGGACTCGGGATCGGATGTGTTGTACGTGGGGGATCACATCTATGGGGACATCTTACGGAGCAAGAAAAGTCTGGGTTGGAGGACAATGCTTGTGGTGCCTGAGCTTGAGGCAGAGCTAGACATACTCTCAAGGTGAGTATTGCAACTGGGGTGCTTGTATGCCAAAACTGGTCCTGTCCATATGGCCAGTGCAAGGAATGTGTATGCTGCAGCTCAGGTTTTTGATCTGCGCCTGGAACGGCCCATGCTGCTGTTTCACCAGCATGCCTCTTGCATGGGAATCGAGGCACAGTGACCCAACAAAGCACAGAGTTGTTATAACTGCTAGATGTCAGGGTGGAGATCAGCCCAATGACCTCTAAACAAGTGACACTCATATCATCCATGACAATTCCAATGTGCCTAGCCCATTGTTTGTACTTTCACACAAGGATGCCTATTCTCCTTGCAGAAGTCAAAACTGTCGCTTTCCTGTATGCTCATGTATGCTTGGCCCTGTGCTTAGTGTGTTTCAGGGTTGCGGTAAAGAATAATGGACCAACAACAATTGTGCATGCCACAATGTATTAAGTCACTGTGGTTGTTGCAAACATTGAAAACAGAAGTGGCCCCTGCCAGCAATTTACTTGTCCCCAGAGAATAGCGAGGTGACTTGTCTGTGTAACAGCAACATGCTATCTAATTTGGCACAGTGACTATCTGCTCGCTTGCTTGGCAACCACACAAGATCTAAAATTCCAAGTGATACTACACATACAGGGCCTGAATTTCTGAGCCAGGCATTGCTGCCAACTGCCCACTGCGCTTCAGTTGGCAGGTGTCCCCAAGCTCATTTGGAAAAGGTGCACCACAACCACAAACCCGAGCACAAGCCAGCAAAGAACCACAATCCGTTTGCACCTGTGAGATCCCTGTCTTTGGCTGGACTGATCAGGCACACATCAGGATTTGGGGCAATACTTAAATCGTGTGCAAGCCATACTCAATTCTGCAGTCCCATAATCAGGTGTGCCCCAACAGAGCCACGTATTGCTGGGCCAGATTTCATGAGCTGTGAAACCCACAACAAATGTGATGCCTCGTCTGAAATCCAAGCAGATGGTAGTATTATGGCGATTGCAAGTTAGTGTGCACAATGGACACAGTGCGGTAGCTTGTAGCGGGCCCAAGCTGATCCACACTGTGAGTGCTGGTTTACAGTTGTAATGGAAAGCAACGTGTGATTGCACTTGTACATTGATATGGGTACACATTTAGCCAGCCCTTGCTTTCTTTTACACCACCGCAACAGTTTATTGGTGTATGCATGCCTTTGGTGACTGTTGTGCAAGACGTGAGCATGATCATCTGGCCTTTGTTTTGTATGCTGTATCCGTCCTTGTTGACAATTTCAAGGTTTCTAACCACCCATGTGTGTCATCACTTTTGGTTTTTCCACCATTGACATGTAAGCACCAAACCCCACGAAACTTTGCAGACAGCAGTCTCACCATCTGCACGTACTGCATAGGCATTCCGGCATCCAGGATGAGCTACAGAGCTTAAGAGACCAACGCGATGCCTTGGAAGATCAGATACATCGACTGGAGTGGAGTGTCAGGCACAGGTCTCCAGCTTCATCAGGGGATGATTCCCAGAGTGCCAAGGTTGCAAAGATGCTGGAGGAACTGGTGCGCCAGAGGGAGGACATTCGTCTGAAGCACAAGTCCCTCCTTCGAGACCACCACAGGGCCTTTCACCCTGTGTGGGGTCGCCTCCTGAAAACTGGCTATGTGAATTCCCGCTTGGCCCACCAAATCGAGAGGTTTGCTTGCCTGTACACCAGCCACATCGCCAACCTGACCTTCTACTCACCTAGAAAGAACTACCGTGGCAGGGTGGACCGCATGGCCCATGAGGAAGACCTGTGCCTTGGGCTGATTGACGAAGATGATATTGTGCAAGGTTGCGGGATCTTTGAGGACTCAATGCTTCGCGAAAGCGATCAAGGCGGTGCTGGGAACAGGTGATGGTGACGATTCGGTGGAACATTTAGTGCAGACTTTGTACAATGAAGGAAATAGAGCATCTGATGCAGGGCAAAAGAGGCAATGGGCTTGAATCGGGAGAATGATGAACATGTGTGGCTCCTCCTTGGGTTGGTTGCCTGTGTGCGCACGCAGCCCGTTTTCACTGGTGCATTTGGTAGAAGGGTTTCATGGGGAAATGGCAATAATGCGAGCATCACGTGTCATCAATTGTCTGCTGGGATGCGGCGCCACCATTGCAGTTTTGGACATGGTTTCTCAGCGAAGAGCTGAGCCTTTGTGTACTCCCTGAGAAGATTGCCTGGCTTGCAAACTTTTCGTTTCCAGCGATTGAATACAAATAGCAGGATTCTAGTCTTCATGGTTGTCATGTCCTCAATGGCGATCATCACAATTTGCGGTATTGACGCTGAGGGTCGCTGGCAGGTCAGCCCTGAACCAGTGATGGATCACAGCCAAGCAAGGTGGGATTCCATGGTCACTGTGTGGACCATAGGGTATGCTATGCCTTGCAGTATGCCATGCAGTATGCCATGCAGCGTGTTCCAACTTTCTTGCTTGCCTTGTGTGCCTTGTTCCCATTCGTTCGCACGAGGCACCTGTGCCAAGTAGAAATTTATGCGCATATTCTCATTGGGCGAGCGCCATCAAATGGCATAGCTAAGTTGTGGCAGAGGTGGGGGCCTCCTTCGATGTCTGCTTATTTTCTGCACTTCTACGAGGGCTTGATGAAACCCATTGGGTTTGTACTATCTGAAGTGTGCTGAAATGCCAGTCCAATTTGAGCGAAGTCAACGATGCACACAAGTATTGTGTCGTGGGCACTGTGGTCCCTGTCTCCATTACTGCTTCCAGTGTTCGCGCTGCACCACTGTTGGGGACTTGTTGCTCCCAGTTGCGGAGGCTGCAGTGCTCGTACCGTCCGCTTATTTCCAAGTGCTGTGGGTTAATAAGAGGCGCCTCCGCTGTGGCGAGAACGCAGCTGCGAAGCAGGTGCTGCTCCATAGAGGGCTCCATTCGCAGACGAGACTGCATCAGCACTGGGTGCTAGTTGTTCTCACAAATCTTTGACGGATTTGTGAGCAGCGCCTCAACTAGAGTGCCAAGAACTTGCATGCACTGCGCACACAGCCGCATCTTAAGATTCGAATTCCTCATCATAGTCTACCATGCCGCTGCTTCTAGCATGCGTAGGGATATCACCCCCACTAATGGATTCGGCACTCGAGCTCTCGAATTCTTCCTCTTGAAGCGCCTTGGCCAGTAAACTCGCAGCCGCTGCATGATCTGCGCATCGCCACACTTGTGTCAAGTGCCGTGGGAAGGGTCAGGCCAGTGAGATGGCTCCCTGAGAGAAGCATGTCGTTGTGCAAAATACCACGAAGGCCATGTACGTGGGCGAAACGACTGTTCATGCAGTTGTAGCTGTCTGCGGTGTGGAAGCTTCTGCTTGATGGAATTGTCACCAGAAAACTGTGGAATCTAGCTACCTTCGGTGTTGGACCGAAGTCTGCACGCTGACTTTTCCCATTGCGCGAGAAATAAGCCATGGTACCTGCTGCTGGACATCTGCTGCTAATCTGCTACGGAATGTGTTGGATGTCATCCGCGCAAATCTGGGTCACTAGCGGACGATGCCGCTCGCAACATGCTGCCACTTGCCTTCCCCATCGGACTTGACATTTAATGTCTGCTGTCCTGGCTCCACAAGCTCGTGGCCTTGTTCTGTAGACTCGTGCGACTGGCCTTTCACGTTGGCCGCGACATCTAATGTGTCGAATCTCGTCTCGACACCTTTTCTCTCCTTCCCTTTTCTTGTGGACTCTGTGAACTCCAAACCACCTCTCACGTGTCCCGGCAGATTGTTTGGGGCCAGCCTCGCCGGAGACGGTGCTGTTGCCAAGCACCCAGTGGGGCTCTCCCATCTGATGGCGACATCAAGACCATCTTCCCCATGACTGGGAGGGTCTCCAAATTCGCCGCTTGGGGTGCCCTGCCACCGTACAAAGTGGCAACGAGTTCCGGATCGCAAGTACAGCAAAGCATCCTCTGTTGAATCACTGTCGCTGGTACTTCCCATGCCCGAATAGTGTATTGCTGCGGCTCTGTCGGGCAAGTCTTGGTATTGTCTGGACTTCGTTTCTGTGACTGCGATGTCATTGTGGCACGAGAGGGGGACGTCGAGCGCGCCACAACGTCGTCACAATTGACATCTACCAAGTATACGCGTGTTTTTGGCAGGTGTGCAAACGTATGCCAACACGCTGTAACTGTAGAGCATAGGGTGGGAATAGGGACTTACTTTCACAGCGATCTCTTTTCTGTCGTTCTGTTGTCGATCGAGTCCGACGTGAAAAGACTCTGGACTGCTGATGAAACGGACTCCATTGTCGGTCTCATCTCCGTCGTAATCAGTTTTGTGCCGCTTGAAGACCCTTATCTTCAGTCCCGTGCTCAGCCGTCTGCCCAAGGACGCCAAACGGGTGCTCATGGATGGCGATGGAATCCTATCACTCCTGGCGAGTTGTTTGCCCTGGGACGGGCCCACTGCTGGAGGGTCCAACGCGACAGGGGGAGCGGGGGAAGAAATTGGCAAAGATGGCTCCGGGACTGGCATTGCGGCCACCTGGGAAACGAATTTTACTGTCACGAACCCATTCACTTTTTTTTGGGTATTGACGCATAAGTACAGCAATGGCATGCCCATTCAACAATTGACGTCACACATGTAGATGCGCTGCAATGCCAGTGTAGACAACGTCAGTGTAGACTATTCAACTTCTTGGATTCGCCATCTGGGGCAGCAGCACCTGGGAGACATCAATGGCAGAGTAGTGAACCTCACGGCATCTTTCGTCCTCATTATCTGCAGCAGATTTCTCCTGTTCATTGGGGGCTCCCCTGCCAAAGGGGATGGCTTCTGGTGCTTCGTGCCCTGTGCTGCGCGGTGTTAGAGACAGCGCCTCGGGCGTGGCAGACGCCGAGGGAGTGAACAGGTCTTTCACATGGCTCTTAGCTCTCGGGCAGTTCTGGAGCCCATCCTCTGCTCCTCCGCTTGCAGGCGACCCACCTACATCCCCCTCCACTATGTCTTCCAGCGTGATATCCACCAGTGGTGACTGTTCCACGGACTCTTGCAGGGGGGCAGTGCTCTTGCAACTGCTGGAGTGCACCGAGGATGGCACCACACGCTCCAGCTCCGCGTCGCCGTTGGATGTACCTTCACGCCCTTCGCTACTGCTGAGCTTCGTGCTCGCTACACTTCGTGGCGCGGCCGTTTCAGCTTCAGCGCAGTTTGACATCGAGGAAGTCGCGGGGGGGTAAGCTGAAGTAGCAGCATTGCTGAAACAGGTTCCAGCAATTTCCCCGTCTTCCCTGTCGCTGGCCACCCGTGCCTGGGTGTTGATGTGAAGTGAGTTTGGTATCTCCCGTCCATTTGCAGAGACACCAACATTCGCCGAGGCGTGCTCAGAGGGAGGCAAGATTGGATTGGTGGCACTGGATCCCCCTATTGGGGCAGAGGCAGGCACGTGTTCAAAATGTTCGGGAGAGTTGTCATTACCACGGCTTTGAGATATTCCCACTGGTATGCTTGTGCCTCCGTAGTGCACCTGCGATTCCACAATTTGCTGCAGATTTCGAGAGGAAGGTTGCAAACTTTCTGCCGGTGGAATCGACATTGAGCCGCGTTTGTCCATTTCGTGTTCCAATCCCATCCATTCCGAATTTCTGGTTGTTGCGCTGGAGTCGATTGTCCCCTCATCGCCGTGGTTTTGCTGCTTCGAGGAGCCGACGTTGACAGAAAATTGCGATCTCAGGCTGATGAAATTATTCTCGTTTGTCCTTTCGGCCCCTCTGTGCTTGGATTTATGACCGAGGAGGGGAGATTCTACGTCAGGGTGTACTACTACGCGCAGCCTCTGCGCTGCAATCACAGGATCTGCGCGGAGGGGCGCGGCCATCACAGGGACCTCACGGAGCGGTGCACCCGGGCCATGATTTTGCAGGACTGGTTGAGTTTTTTCCGTAATGTTGGTGGTACGACAGTGCGGGGCCATTGTCTTCCCTTGTTCCGTAAATCCTAATGTTGAAAGACTGCACACGGAGCGCTCTCCAAGCGTTTGATTGGGATTGAGCGCAGGAGTGCCTCTGTCCGTCTTTTCGTGGCAAGCCTGACAGCAGCGATTTTGAAAATTTGGCATGTCTGTGGATCCCCCTTGCACGGCGGCTATCTTCCAGCTCTCCATCATGGATCTTTTGTTCTTCAGCTCCTCCTGAAATGCCTTGCGCACCTCAAGGCACCACTGGGGGTACATCCTGCGCACATGCGCCAGATGCCGCTCTCGGGCGGACGCTATCTGACAGGGGAATACGTCAGCCTCATGAAAAGAACATTCCGGATTTGCCAGTTTAGTAAATTTACTATTTGATGGGAGTGAAATTGGACAAAATCTCCGTGGCTCAATCACGGAAAGAACCATAAATCGAGAATACAGCAGGCGCGCAAGTGCGATTTGGTAATTCTCACCAGGTTGGAAGGAAGTGAACAGCGTGCATTGAATTTCCCGCCTGGAAATTTATGTTGAGTTGTACAAGGTTGCGCACGATACGTTCGCGTATGTATTTATTACTTGCAGGCGACTTGATTGTATTCGCTGTACATGCCATTTTAACAAAATCGCCAGCATTGTGCAATAGTGTTCGGAGTTTTATACTGTACAATGTGTTGATGCTTATCGCTTCCAATAGTTGCTGTTTTGCACATTTTTCTGCTTTTGTATCCCCTGACGACCGCTGATAAATACGCATAAATTCGTCGATACATATTCCCACTTCCAATAAACCATGCTGTGGAGAAATATTCTTTCGTTTATGAAGGGTTCTACCTGCGCGTCTGCGAGGCGCCTCTCCTTCCCGAACTGCATTTCTTTCAGGGTCAACAAAGCCAACTCAAATTTCTCCTTGATTTGGGCGTTCCTTTCCTCCGCTCGCCTGCAATATTCTTGATGTTTCTCCTGAAACATAGGTCATATGTGCAATTTTCAACCGTAAATGCAATGTCTCCTGGGATGTCTACCGCAGTGGGAGAATTGCACCACTTTGTCATTGACTATGAATACTTCACGAGGTATCCTGGATTCGATTGACCGCAAATTTCCACGATGCATTTAACTGCGCATGTCATGCGCAATTCCGTGTGATGCAATTGCATCAGCGCTGAATCGCGCTGATACCCATTCAGTGCATTTGTGCTCTTGGCGAAATTTCCTGACTTTGGCGTGTTGAATGTAGCCAAAATCGGAAAGTGGATTGCAATTCAATCGGAAGTCTCCTAAATATTGGACACGTTGACTAACCATCGTCATTGCTTCATGCAGCGAAACCGCCATGGGTTCCGCAAAAACTCTCTTGGCACAGTGTCTATCGCCCAATTCTATATTCTAAAAACTGCCTTTTGATTTCCTAAGCTTTGCCGTGTGTTACAAATAGCATCAGTTCGACTTAGACTGCACAGTCAACAGATCTTGTTCAACGTTCAACCTTTTCTTACGCGGCATTTTACCCATTCCAAATATTTTAACGCCGTCGCTCAAACCTGCATCTGGCGCATTTGCCGACCCCAATACATGCTCCCTCTTGCTGAGAGCTGTCCATCATATGTGTCCAAAGCCGCAATCTGCGTCCTGACCCTTTGAAGGGCACACTCCGTAGGGGTCATTGCCCTTGGAAGGAGTGCTGTGCGGCACATTGTACCATTCGTTTCCATGATGCAGACAGCAGACTTCCATACGTTCTCTTTGGTTTCTGTTGAGAGTACTGTTTCTTGTCGCGTGCTGCAGAGAGCCCCTGTTATGTGCTGGCTGTAGCATACCGAAAGCTCTGAATGGACAAAATTGCATTTCGGAAGCCGAACAATGAATATTCTTTTTTTGGGTGTATAATACACCTAAAGCAAGAAAGCCCATAAGTGCATTGTTCCACTTCGAAATGGAGGCTGGGAAATGCTTTTTATACTTCCAAGTATAAAACACATTTCCCAGCCTCCATGTCAAAGTGGCCTGTGGAGGAATTCCTCCTCCCGGAAATAAATGACACAATTCGTCTAAGAGGCTATTTTTGTATCACCCTCTTGTTAACTTGCCTTCAAAATCAGATCGAGGCAATATATATACATTTGATATTTGCTCCCAAATTTTTGTGTACAATGGGTGAGTACCGGCCACAGGCAGTACTTTGAACCCTTCTGATTCAGGCCAAAAAGTCGAGGCTTCTCAAAGTCTGGCCGAACGGCTCACAAAACGGGTCCTTGACCATGTCGCCTTGCGACTAACGATGCGCAGCGAAGAATGGATATCTGTTGATACCGTCTTGGCAGTAGGTCGACGCCGTTCCACGAAACGGGGTTTTATACCGTTCTATCCTCGATAGGCACCGTGGCTTTGATGGCGTGACGAGAACAACAGCTCTGGATCGGAGACCTAGCAATCGGCGAGCTTCACAATCACAGCGTTTTCGGAAGGGCCGCCGCCATGGGCGAGGTCGATATGGGTGCTAAGACCACCACGGAAGGTTTTGGAGAATGTGGTTTTGCCTTCGCTGCGTGGCAGCTAGAAGATCGTTGAACTAGCTGTGGTGGGTACGTGCCATGAGAAACACTTTGCGTGCAATTCACGCCGTTTCCGAAAGTGCCGCTGCAATGGAGCTTTGCCCGTGCCATTGCAAGATGCAAGAGAACCACCACAGCGATAAGTGGGGTCTCCGATGGAGCATACAACCCTCCATTGTCATGTTTGGCGGGGTTGAAGCCTGTCGGAAGGAGGGGCTGCTTGCATCAGGCAGGAACTTAATCGGAGATCTGTGCCGAACAAAAAGCTTATGTAGCATGCAAGTATCCCGAGGCTAGTCTTTAGCTAAATGGAGACCTCTAGGCAGTGGGGGTTCCCAGGCATGTCGACGTGCTGCCGTGGAAGATAGCGGGGATTTCGAGCATACATTGATGGCGGTACGCAGACATCGGTGCCATATCTGTCGATTGTGAGCTGCGAAGGTTGTCGATCTTTGGGCTAGAGTCCGAGCACTGAGGCACCTCCACCATTCCGATACTGTGAAGCTCACTAGAGGGGGCATCGCTCATGCGCCGGGCTTCCTTGGGTCCAGGGTGCTAGGTTTGGTGAGGTGGGGGACTGACTGCGAATGCTCAAATTCTGGTGCTGAGTCGTTCGGCTTCAGAGTACTACCATATGCCTAAATCTCACTTTCTGTCGATAAGTTTTTGACAGCATTGACTAAACACATAGTACATACGCTGGTCCAATTTTGAAGGAAAAATGGGAAGTACATGATAAGAATGCGGTCAATCAACCAATCGTTTCATTTAATTCTGGATGGGGAAAGTACAAGAATTGTATAGCATATATTACCAAAGCTCAACAAATTACTCCCCAACGTCTCAAAGTTTGAATATGCTTCATGGCTGCCGTTCTGTATGGATTCTGGGAAGCTCCAAGTCATCGCTTCCTTTATATCAAAAGAAATTGGACTTAAGCAGATGGGAGATCGTGTATTCTGGAATTATCCACATTGATGCTCTTCATTATTTTGGCATACGCCACGCGGACCTCACCATCCAAATGATGGGCAAACGCGCAATTCATGAAACGTTGCGCTATGGCAACGTAGTTGGAAATATTTCGACATTACCCAACGTTGATTCAACAAAAACAGATTGCGTATTGTTGGAGTAATCCAAGAAAAACATATTTTCTTGTGAAAATGTCCAAATGCGTACGTCGGGTGCAAAACGCCCGATATTGCGGATGTACCTTGATCAGAACACCATAAACTAGTAATTTGTTGCATGTAGTGGGTGATCATTGCATGCTAGCCGCCATGATATCCCTATTACTTCGAATTATATTGTGTATCTTGGAATAAACATCTTTGCGACTGCAATTAGACTTGCGATCAAGTTTTCTTGCTTATATGCCTTTGGAAACCAAAACGGGGGACTTGACTTTCCATGGTGGGCATGTAAAAACACCCAAAATGGCTTTTTATCCCCCGCATTGACAAGTGCCGCGACTGCCCAGTTTTGAAACATCATGCTACTTCAGGTCAACGGTAATTCTTGCTTTTCTGCGATATTGCATATGCAGCATTTTCAGCATTGCATAACGCGGGGCCCCGCCATTTTTATGTTCTTTTTTCAGTCGGCATATGTGCGGACGTGCCAAGCTGTCGTGACACAAACACAGGACTGCCGGGCACTCAAAGGAAAATTGTGGCAGAAACACTTCCCGAACGTTCTGAAACCCAGCAACGGGTCTGCTGGAAACATCGGGGACGTCGAGCCATACTTCGACAGCTCACCCTAATAGCACTACCTGCATGAAAATTTGTCCGAGTTTGACAGGTGACCCGCATTCTGCACTTTCAATGGCGACATGTGTGTGATATGGAGGAGGGTAAGAAGGGAAGCGTGGGGGGGGAAGAGCGCCACCGTCTGACCATTCAACAATGTTGGTCGGCCAGACGGAAAACCAAAACAGAATGTTGGTGCACGTGAGTTTTCACCCTCCACAAAGCGCCGCAAGGCACCAAGACGCATGTGCTTCCAACTCCAGCGGCACTTTCAACAGCGGCCGAAGTAGCTAGAGCTGTGCATGGTCCATGAAGACTACCGGCAGATGATCTTATGCTCGCGGTCTTAGAGCCTGTGACAACGGCTGGAGCCCGTACATTGTGGCCAAACCTCAATGAGGTGAGCTCCACGTGGTGTTGATTTATTATGGTGCCGAATGTACAATATCTACAACAAGTGCAGTGCCATACCCAGGTGGTTGCCCCCAAGAAGCAGTTGATAATTATGAAGAACTCAAGTGGACCTTGAGTGCTTCCACCCAGAGTACGTTTAGGCCCCGGGATGCAGCGATTTATCCCAGACCCAACTGTAACTGCAGGGTCAGAAGCCAGGCCTGTTCCATATAAGAGGTCCCTGTGCGGTCGATGACGTGCATTCTTCTCATGCCCTACTGCATGTTTATAAACACTATCTCACTCTAAGCTTCATGCTGCATTGCACTTCCCCCTCTTGTGAATCGGCACAACAGAAACTCTCCTCAACATATCTCATGCGCATGCTTTTCAGAGTCTGGCCATGCTTTTAGCTCTATCTTCGTTCTCACATCAGAATGTGATGCAAGCGCTACCAGCCGCCAATGGCTCATGTGTCATGTGACCGAGTTCCTCTTTCCCTGGCAGGATGGCGACCACCAACGCATCCTTGAAACGACCTGCGGATGCATAGAAAAGCACACCCGCATCCTGAGCCCAAGCTGCCAACGATGCAGTTTGTCCTGTCCTAGCACACCCGTATAGCTGTGCCTACCAAAGTAATGCTCAGATGGCTTCTATTTGTGCCAGATTGAGGGAACTCTGCATGACACATTTCCGGGCATCCCATGCAGTCATCATTGACAGCATATATACGGTGCTGGATATATCAAGCAGTAGTGATATTCCCGGTCGATCCATATCTTAGTATAGGGTAGCCGCAACGGACTCACATTCTTGTGAATTCGCGGTCTCCTTCCACGCGCTCAGAAAGATCTTCCATGCACGTCCCGAGTTCTTTCACCTTCTCACTCAGCTTCGTAAGGTCGGACAGAATTGAACGCAGTATACCTTCCACCGAGTCGTCGTGCATGGCCTGCTGCTTGACGATGAGCTCCAGCTTCTCCTGGACCGCCTCTATTCGCTGCGAAGGATCGTTTCTCTCCATACGTGTGATTCGAACGCCCAAGCTGTCGAATTGATATCCTGTGGACTGCAGGACACCCAAGGAATGTGAAATTCAGCGGACAAGGGATGGAACGAGGTGCGTATATCTTGTGGGTGGTCATCTACAAAACTGCCAAAGAGGAAATCGCATACTAAGTATCATGGATTCGACTGAGGCCATCAAAAACGGCTGTTCAACGGGAGAACACCACGCACCCTAGACTGCTTAGGGCATGTGCGCATACCTCAAATGCTCTCTGACTGTCTCTGTGGACGCTTTGAAGGTCCTCCGCTAATGTGGAAATATCGTTTGCCAGAGCTACAGCTGCGGCGTGGCTCTCTTCCTTGATTCTATTCAACCGTTCCTGCGGAGATTCCAAATCAGATCTTTGGGAGCATACAGTTCGTGCGATTGCAAATTCAAGTTGCCCGCTTCAATTTAAATTGATTACTTCTGACTTTGCAAAGCAGATCTCATCCAGGCAAATGGCCGAATGTCGAAATGCCATATTCAAAGTATGCTGTACCTCCAGTTCCCGGGGTGCGAATTGCTCCATCAGTCGCTCTTGTTGCTCTGTAATCATATCCTCAACAGTGTGACTCATAGTTTGCGCCAATGAGTCTGGTAGTGACGCTTCGCGCCACCTCTGCAGCTCGCACACTTGGCACTGAATTACAGTCATCTTCTCACATGCCCCAAGACTGGTGCTGACATCGTGAAGAGTGCTCTGGGGCCAACAAATGCGATTCAGAACGCGTGGCCGAAGCCAAATCTTAGATGCTGCTGCCAAGAAAACAAGCTGAACCACGGTTTGGGGCCCTCAGGATTTGAAAGTTCGATATTCACAGTGCACCTACGGCTTTGGAAATGCGAATAACCACATTTTAAAAGTCACGTCAGTGAAGACGACGACTGTTTCGTAATATGCATACATTAAACAGCATTGTTGGCGTGGCGAGTGTTTGTTGTGTTCCAGTGCTGACTAATCACGCATGCCAGTTTGGACAATCGGCCACAATTTGCCGCAACTGAAGTGTATGTGTTTGCTAATTAAAGAGGTTGTCCATATCCACCCGGATTCGAACTAAACAGTACTTCAATTATATAACAATATACCAATATACCAATTGGCGTTTTCCCACAAGCGCCAAATTCTGAAATATGCGATAAATCTGCAAGTGCACAGGGCGGCGCCATGTTTCTATTTTGCCAACCTGCAGGTCCTTTTTGATGTGCGCTGTCTGCCTATGGAGGTCATCCACACGTGCGTTGATTGAGCTCATTTCTTTTCGAACAACAGCTCCTGCCTCTGTGCGCGCTGCCGCAAGGAGTGCATTTGCCTCAGCCCTGAGGCGGTCCACCTCATTCAAACGGCTTTCTACATCGTCGTATAGGCGTTGGACGTGGCGCGACCACGTTTCCCGCTCTACCTGCAGAACACCGTTCGGCCAAGCTTCCGACCTTGTTTCCAGTGGATTTTCTGCAAGCTCCTCTCTTGAGCATCCTTCCTTGCTCTTATTCACAATCTCATCAAATCGGTGGTTCACTTTGGGTGTGCTCCATTCGATTCAGACTCAGTCACGAGGTTCTTTTCCGGCCCCATCACGCTGAAATGCGTCGAGGGCGTTGGAAGATACTGCAGAGGACAATTGAATTGTGGTTTCTCTAAATAACTTTTTGGGGCTTATCATTGTCGCCGCAGGAGCCACAATGGACTATTTGTGATCGACAAGGTATGGATATCCTCTCAGAAGTCACATCGATGCGCAATGTATTTCATGTATTTGTGCACCTTTCTGGAATTTGCAGCACCCATATAGGCCATTTAAAGGTGCAGCGCACATCGCTGTCGCCTTTCACTACGCGTATTTGTTCGGTTTATAACAATATCACGTTGTTCGCCACCCATGAACGTCATTGAATGATGGATGCGCATGTCCTAAAGTACAGTTATATGTCAACCCTGCACTGATATGCATCCGCATCCTGGACCAGCTCACATTGTTGCCTTATTACCTCTACTGCAGCGACAAACTCCCGACCAAGCGTTCGCGTAACAAAACAATCGGGTTACAGCCATGAGGTAACATATCGTTCTTTACCATGGAATTCAATACTCTGCTAATATAGTTTCCCCCAAGGGCGTCGATTGGTGCGTCTTCCAATGCCTTGAGTCTGGTGTCAGTGGATAGAGCTATTTCGGCCAAAGCCATTTGATTTCATCCTCAACCCATTTTGAGTCACCGATATATCAAAATTCTCAGAGGAGCATTTGCTATTTGGCGCCCTGGACTGGCGGAAGTTTTTGCAGGGGCAGAGGCGGCTGGCGGGTGGTGGAAAGTGCAGGGGAACTGCGAAGAAGAAATCCTGGATTCTGTTTGAGTTTTGGTGAATAGCGGTTTGGAAGTTTTCGGTTGTTGGAGACTCGTGGATGAGTTTGGCAGAAAGCAGCGGTTAGAATTTGTGTGGCAAGTGGATTTAGGTTGAATTGGGGGGACAGTTTTGGCGTACATACGCCTCACGGTCACAGGCGGCGCTGTAGAGCGGATGAAACGAGCGTGTTTGTGCACCCACCTGCCATCGCTGCATCTCCTGCTGCACAATTTCGGTTTCATCAAGCAAAGCATCAGCCAGGGAGGCTACCGCCTCTTTCAGGTCCGCCACCTGCGCGATCACCATTTGTGAAGCGTACGAAAGGAATTTCATTCACACATGCAGCGCCTCAATGACATTCATATGTACGCCAGCTCTGTGACATACTGGTGGTGACAAATTCCTCGAGCATGAACTGCAAGCTGCTGGATATTTTACATCAAGCCCATTCGACTTAATCCCAGAAACGAATGCTTATGAAAACACTAATTCCAGCACTTCCCAAGTAGTTTACAAAAAATACGAAGATTCTCCTGATTGCTCCCAACAGTTTCTCTGATAACATCGACAGAAAGCTTGGACGACGAAAATAACTAGCAGACTGTGCAACACCTGGAAGGCGTCTTAGGAGATTATTGAATTACGTCACATAGCCTTGCAAAACCGATAAGTTGGGTTGTAAAACAATAAAAACTTCTTGGTTCAAACGCTCCAAATCCACACCTGCCTGCTGAGTTGCTTGCTCGATGGGGAGGTGTCTTTCTTGACCTTGTGGAGTTTCTGCGCGAAGTTCATTAAAATGAGAGGTTTGAGTGATTGCCGCTGTTGCACAAAAGGATACTTGGCTATGACTGGCAATTCTCTGCCTCTTTTTCACGGGAGAACAGAGGAGAACAGCGACGCTTTGTTCTTGGCATTGATTGCAGAAGTTCGGCTGACTGAACACCAACAGCTAGTCCCAACTGGGCGCCACGTGCAACAACAAGGACTGGATTCTCACGGCAATGGTAGATGCTGGATGTTTCGAGATAACAACTTCTGCGTTCCGTGGATTCACATGGTGCTGCGGGAACGGAAACGTGATATTTGGCGCTCATTTCCTCATCTCTATGGCATGAAAGCTGCTGTCTACGCACCTCCACAGTCCCTGTAAGTGCCGTGACAGCCCGCATCCGTGAAGAGAGTCCCAACTTCCCTGAACCCTGAAATTCACAAAGCATCAAGTTTCCTCACAGAGCGTTCCGCAAAGAGCAATTGTATTGCGAAGAGACATTGTATATAACGCGCACACATCTCGCAATCCTCCTAAATACCAAAGCTGTTCAAGCAACGTGCTATATCCTGTTTGTAATAAAGCATTAAGGAGCACATGGGCAAACCTACAACAACAGCGGCGCAAAAAAGGCAATTCATGAATTGAAAATTTGCGGACTGTGATGGCATGTGGAACAGAAAAGAAAGGGCGCAAGTGATCGAGACTATGAAAGCGCGTGTATTTTTTTGTTCAGGAAGTACATTCTCACGAGCGCTTGAGAGAAGCAGCTCTGTGTACCTCAATCCTTTAAAGCGTTTTGAGATTATGATATCTGTTAGGAAACAACCTGCCACCTTGGTGCGTGGAGGCTATCACTGAATATTATACTCCGAAAAGTACGGAATCACAGCGGCTTCTTGAGTTCAGTGGCTCTGATGAACATCTAGGCAACGTGCAATGTGCATTGTAGGAGCCCCACCATATGTCATAAAGAAAAACCGTAATTTTCGTCGAACCTGGAGAAGAAGAATGGATCACTGGCAAGTCGACTTCAGCAAGGTTGCTACTAATCGAACCTACAGTTTGCTGCAATTGTGGTAATTAGTACAACAAAGGGATCAAATTTTGTCCATTTGTGCCGCTTCCTGGACCAAAATTAAAAGTTCTCGCTTTTCACATAGTAAGCGCTCTGGCGACCAATATTCCCGCCTTGCAATCGCGAACCCCAGGAGCTTTCTCTTGACGCAGCTGCAGCGCCCAGGCAGCGAAAGGCCCATACTGACACAAACACAGGGCTGTGCGCCATTTGAGAGCCCCTTCCGGGTCCACGGACACGCCTGCCAACAATCAAAGCAAGGACTGTGCGCACCATCATGGCAGCAGGTTATTCCACGATGGGCTTCCCTGAGTTGAGATTCCGCCGTGAGGGTCTCCTACGGTGCTTCGTCAACGCCAAACGGCAGTGACCTGCAACGCGGGTCAGGAGTCCTCAGTGCTGGCTATGGTACTCACAGTGAGCGCCTCGTTGCAGTTGGCCTCTCCAAGTACAGCAGTCTTTCAGCACTGGATTTGCAGCATGTCGATTCACCTGCTGCAACAGTTAAACCGCAATTGCTGCAGCCCAGGCACACTAGAAAGGGACCAACCGACGCAGTTCACATGGAAGGATGGATGGAATCTTGCTGGTGTTGCCATTCTACCGATTAAGAAACATGGCACATTAGGCAAAGAAGTGCGGGTTGTGCTTGCGTTCATTGCATTTCCTTGAGCGGAATAGAAAACTTGCAGTTGTCTCCTCGTGTACGAATGTGAATTTCGCTATCAAAGTCGGTATTGGTGTCTTGTAATACATCTTAAATGCGAATAGCCAGTTAGACTTAAAATGGCAGTGGGGTGCTTCACCGTGTCCTGAGGACAGAGAACGTACCGCAGTTCAATTGTGACAGTCGTCGATATGCTCTTTTGGCCAAATTGAGATCTCTTAGGGCCATTAAGATGCGGTGCCGCATCCACCACTCCGCGACCCGCCAGCATTGGCAATGGTCTTCTGCATCAACCCCTGTCAAACACTTGGGGAAAAGCTGACTGGCCCGAGTTTTGCCGTCCGACATTTGTACCTGAAAGAGATGTCGTGCTCCCTTCCGAATCCCATAAAGGATCTCGATACCAGCGACATTCAAATTGCTCAAGCAACGCTGTTTTCACACCTCCACAGAAACGAATTTCGACGGCCTTGCAGGAACAGAGAAGGTCATCGACTGGCCCTGCCCCTGCTTTCCCACTGCATCACTTCCAACGTTGTCCACTATGCAAATGGTTGACATTCACACCGGATATCCGGCTGCATCGATGAAAATGTCGCATTCATTCACACTGTTCACAACAACAATGTGGTTCTCAAATCGCAAGAAACGAACCTCAAATGCCCTGCGCAAGACTCCTTGCATCCCTGGCAACATTTCGAGGAAACACACGTCGTCTCCATGCATCGCCAGTAGCGCCCAACTTGAGGGCATTCTGACTGGGGAGCTGTCAAATTCTCCGCCTCGTATCCTGACATGCGACGCGTCACTGTCGCAAGCCACCCACGTCGCTACGCATGTTGAAGATGTGCGACACGTGCAAGGACACATTCCCAGGTTCGGAGGAGACTATGTTCTGCTTGATGGGCCGCTTGCAGCTGTTCTTGACAGAAGTCGGGGAAGAGAGCTCAGCGGCACATGGCAAGATTTCGCTGGCTAAGCCCCGTCAAAGGCTCAGTCACCAACGGACGCTGAAGCACATCCGAGAGCCTGAATCGATGCACCGGATTCTCCTGCCTTTAGGCTCTTCACGGTCAACGTGTGCGTCGTCGCATGTCGGCAACATATGCCCGTGGCCGTACATTGCAACATATGGCTGAATGATTGCTGGGAATCACTAGTGAGCAGAAGCCGCAGCCACGTCTACGTCTCGACGGGCACCATATTTCCATCCAGCTTAGCGTGTTCCAAGTCACGCTTCAAACGCGATTTGCAGCAACCAATAAAATGCAGAGCGTCGACGGAAACACAGGTGCAGATCATCATCATCATGATTTTTTTACAAATGCAGATCACCCATGCTTTTGATCGAGTGTTAGTGGCCACATCACACCATGGTTCGGAGGCACGCTGTTCTGGCTGGTGTGATTGACGGCATTTAATGGGCATTCAGTGAGCAATTTGATGCCTCAATCGGGATGGTTCGACACGTGTGACTGCACCTGGCATCTTGAATGCAATCTTTTACTATATGCACAGAATCAAGGATTGTTAATGGCAATCTTCGAGCTCGCCGTGCGGCATTCCTCGAGCGCGCTGCGGCCGACCACCAGGTCCTGATGCGTTGCGGGTCTCATCTGACAAACTGGCGGCACAGAACCACCGCCAAACAGACAGGAGGGCATTGCGCGCACACACAGGACAACACCCAACACCAAATAGATGGCCGCAATGGCCGGAATAGCATTTCCAGCACAGCGTTCGACGCTTCAACTGTGAATTCCAGACACCAATTAGTTTAAAACAGCGACCTTATTTTCCCAGCCAAGAGCCAATAAAATCTCGTTCAGCCATGTCCGTATCTTGAGGGTGCCTGTTGCTGCAGCTCCCTTCCATGTTGCGACCCTGTCACATCGCATCGCCACGAGTTTGGAACAATAGGGTGTCATGGTCGAAGACTGAGTCGTTTATGAGGTCCCCTGCTATATCGTGCAGAAGATCAACTGATGCGTCTTTCGCTGTGCGCGATGGCGACTTCCTTTTCCTTTTCCTTTCCTCGGCCTCCCGCACATAAGGCAACAGCACTGCTTTCTCTGCAAGCATCTGTTTCCGTGCCTTCTTCTGTTGACTAATCCAACCTTCAGTGTAAGCTTGGGGTATCCAGCTGGCCCACTCCTCAACCAGATCGGGCGTCATCCGTGACAGCACGCCATAGAGGGCCCAGGCAGCAAAGGCTTCTTTGGCCGCAAACTCCATCTGCAAATAACGCCCAAAACATTGGCTCATGAGTACACAAGCCAAGACGGCTTGACCAGGCCCATGCGCATAGGATAGCACCAGCAGGCCTGCTCTCTAGCTGCCCCTGCCTGACGAAGAAACCAAGGCCAATGACCCTTCTCAACAGTCAGCAAGACTTGCCATGGAAATTGCCGCTGCAACAGGTGCAGCGATGAGTTGCCCAATGGGTAACAAGCAGGAAACAGTGTCTATTGACATTCGTATTCTCCAGCACGACAAATTTCCAACCAGAATTATGGTCACCTGATCTTCGCCCAGGTTCTCCGCCTCCCAATGCCCTTGTAGGAGAAACTCGGGGGAAAGCTGAAGTCCAAGGCATGACTGGGTCAATCCTGCAAAATCCTGTTGTGCCACCTTCTTGGGCAGATCATTTTTGGAGCTCATCTGCAGCGTCCTTTTCAACACTTCAAAATGGTCGTGTACACCATGGATAGGCACTTCACACATCTTCATAGCCCGTGACTTCGGCATCACACCATATCCAGCCTTCTTTAATCTCTTGTGCTTGAGTATCTGTCGGAATCTGGGACCCAGCTTCTCCACAGGCATGTCCAGTGGCTGGCAGACATCAACAGGCATGAGTACAATATTCATCTTCCATAACCATATTCAATTTGTGCCAGCCGCTTTAATTCGTAGCTCGCAAAAGCAACCTGCAGTGTGTTCAGGCGCCTGAGATGTGATGACCGCTACAGAACGATGATACTCCACAACGCCATTTGTTTCATTCCAAATAGGCAGCATGGTATTCAGTCCTCATATACCAAAGCATGACAAACCCTGCATGCAATTCTCAGCAGAGGTTAAGACCGTGTGATTAACTTTATCAATGCAAAAAATTGCACGTTTGCCCAAGGGCACAACCCAGTTCAGAACATCCATCACGGGCAATGAGCTAACAAACCAACAAGCGATTCCCAGCCAGGTGCTTTCAGGCGCATAAAATACAATATATGCAGGAACATTGCACCTGAAGCCCTGCAGCACATCCCATAACTTATGTTCCAGGCTACAGCATACGAGGACTTGTTGCAAGGATCTTTCGTCACTGTCTCCTGTTTGGACATGCCCACAGCAGCGATGGAAGTGCTCAAAAACAGGGCTGCGGGCCACCCACCTGCACCAGTAACACCTTGCTACCCGCTGCCAGTTGAAACAATGCAAGCTCTGCCCATTGTTCAGGATAGCTGTCAGAATAGTAAGCCCCACGCTCCAGGTATGTCCACCATTTGGTTTCAAACCCGTAGAGTGTGGTACCTTTCCTGAGTTGTTCCTCGGCCCATGCCTCACACATGTCGGTGTTGTTGGTGACCATGACATCGATAGTAACACTCTTGCTGGGGTACAGACTTCCTATAGCAGGAACAAATTTGCTCCTCTCCCAAGTGTACTGCCTGTAGTCAACGTATAGAGGCCTTGGAGATGGGAAAACAACCAGTGGGGGTGGTGGGGTCTTTGTGCCTGCCCCAATGGGAACCGGCTCGTCGTGTTGTGGGATATCCGCAACATCATCAGCAGATGACGTCCATTTCAGGCTGTGCTGCCCTCGCCCACGTGCAGATGGCCCAGATTTGAGTTCTGGTTCATGATTGGATGGATAACCTGTAGATGCAATACATGGTCAGCAACTATCATTCAGCTAAGCACAATATCTTGAACAGTAGGAGCAACTCTGGCCCACCACAGGTGCA